TCGAAATACGAAACGTCGTAAAGAAGGAGCCACGCTAATTCAGCGGTCAGATTTATACAGCGGCGAGTGACGATTTTATTATCGCCGTATTTCAAAGTTTACGCGAACTAGAGATGACCGTAGAAACGCCTCGGGACCATTCCTTGTGAAACTCAAGTATTTTCTGGCGTTGCGGGGACGAAAATATCTCAGCTGCTATCGAAAACTCCGGTCGCCTACTCGCGAACCGATCCACCTAAATCCAGGATTGATACGAGGAAAAGTCACGAGTTCGGGGCGAGTTTTATCAAAATATGGAACACCAATCTCGCGCAACTTTCGAACTTTAACTTGCCCCTAAACTTGTTCGCCCTACAGTCCTGCGAATGAATTAATCGAGCCTCTCCAATCGACACCGGCAACGAATTCGCAAAGTCAACAAGAACTTCGTTGAAACTGGAATGCTACTTCGCGGAAACATTTCCATTCTTTTGAATACGTTAGAAAGGTGCAAAGAGTAACACAATTAAAAGACTGAATTCGTTTGTTCTATCTTAACACGAAATTCGAGAAACTTGCAACTATATTTGAGGAAAATTGATGAAAATTCCAGGAGAGAGTTGGAACATTCTTCCTGCTTCAAGTACATTAAAAAGGTGAAAAAGTAAGGTAATTTATTCGTTCAATTTTTCTTTTAAATTTGAGAAAATTCCCTTTGTATTTAACGGAAATTGACGAAAATTCCGCGAGAAAGTGGAACATACTTCTATCACGACGAATTCCACCGTAATTTTAAACTTTACTCGCTTCGAGAGCATTATCAGTAGCTTGTGTATAATACGACGGAAATTTGCAAACATAAATTCATCAACATCGCCTGTTTCAACCAAGAGACGGGGTACAAGTTCCTCTCGCGATCTGACGGAAAATGAGCCGCGAGAAAGTGTGTCGAGCGCGGTGAAATCTTGCGCAACGTTTCAATTCGTCATGGGGATCGAATAAACTGAAGCATCGGAGACGTGATCAAGTGGAATTCAGTGTCGACAATAGGTGTGCAAACTCTCCCCAATGGAGAATAGACGTTGATGCACGCGACAGGGATTTCACATTCTCGCGAACGTTCCTCTCTCGTAGCGAGTTTTCTTCTCCTTTTACATATTCTGATGGTTGCACCCTGTGGACTTCACTTTGCTCGTAACTGTTGAGAATTCATTTGAGAGTGTGATAAATGTGTTCGCACAATTCTTTCGATAAAGTGTCAATTTAATCTGCCTATAGGCGCTCTGCAAAATTATTTCGCGCTGTGTCCTTGGTGCCTATAGGCAGTTTGAATATTTTTTCGCGCGCCCTTGGTGTTTATAGGCAGTTTGAATATTTTTTCGCGCGCCCTTGGTGTCTATAGGCGGTTTGAATATTTTTTCGCGTTTCCTTGGTTTCTATAGGCGTTCTGAATATTTTTTCGCGCGCCCTTGGTGACTATGGGCGCTTTGAAAATTTTTTCGCGTGTCCTTAGTGACTATAGGCGGTTTGAATATTTTTTCGCGTGTCCTTAGTGACTATAGGCGGTTTGAATATTTTTTCGCGTGTCCTTAGTGACTCTAGGCGCTTTGAGAATTTTCTCGCGCTGCACACCTTTGGCGCCTATATGCGTTTCGAATATTTTTTCGCATTTCCTTGGTGACTATAGGCGTTTTGAACATTTTCTCGCAATTCTCATTAAGTCTCAACAGAGTTCTCTTAGAATTCCACGCGAGTTTCTGAATTCCAATAGAGTTCTCATAGTGTTCCTATAGAGTTCCCATAAAGCTACCACAAATTCACCAGAATTCCCATAAAATTCTGCCCGACTTTCCACCGAATTCTCACAAAGTCCTCGCTACTTTCATTCCAATTTCATCCAATCCTCGCAGAGTTCCCCCAGCACTTCCACAAAATTCTTATCGATTCCTCGCCAACATCTCCCACAGCACTCGAAACGCTCATTTGCGAAAAACGAGGCGAGATAACTCGTCCGACTACCAACCATCAGAATACCTGACGATTGAATCAATGATCATAAATTCGATCGACGTCGCTTCCCGAAAACTGTTTCTCCAGGCCTTTTACGCTTTCGTCCAAACACATCCCGAAAGGTGGGCTCGTAAAACCAAACGACCCAGTGATTACGGTTACTTTATGGGGTCGTGCGGTCAGGACCCTCGTATTCGGTTGTATCGACCACGATATCGAGTCCGGCCAAACGATCCACAACCGTGGCAATCGAAAAGAACGAATAATCGTGACTGGGTTCGTTCAACCTTCTCCAATTCTTCCATTTTTCTGCTCAAATTTTTACGCTTATCCGCAAATGTTCAGAGCTCGTTGGAAATTTCAATAAAAATCAGTGGCAAATTACAAAGAAAACGAACTCATTATTAACCTACTTTTTTTCGTTTCATTCTCACTCTCACGTTTCGTGGAGTTTCTCCCTTCGTATCATTAGCCTACATTGAATTGTTAATCGAAGTTTCTGGATTTCAGTCGTGTCCAATTGTTTTTCATTTCCAGCATTTCGCCAGGATTGCAGCTAGCTTCATCAAGGCTGAGAAAACACGTTGATAATGAACCCTGATGACCAATGCTGGCGAAACGTTGGAAATGCAACACAACTGAATACGACTGAAATCTAGAATTCTCGATTAACAATTCAAACAATCCACAAAGTCTTCAAAATTATCAGCCTACATGTTATTGTTATTTTTACTATTAAGAATGAAGGGTTAGTTATTATTCCTCCTTTTTCTTCTCAATTTGCCAGAAGTTGCACAGTTCCCTCGGGAAAGTTAAGCTTCTTCTTCGAACGGATATGAATAGTGGGCAATTTTCCGTCTTCCAATGTCTACTACAAATACCGTCTTTCCTTTCTAACGTAACTGCACCTTTTCCACTCTCAACTTTCTTAATGGTCCCATAACAGTTTCCTTAAATACCGGCACTATAACCGAAACTGGCTTAAAATCTTTCGAGCCAATTCCCCCTCGAATTTCAATCAGTGCCAACTTAATTGCACGTATCAATTAAAAGTCCAAAGTGATTCTACGGGAATTAACCCTTTCGCCGGGGCAAGTTCAAGCATATTGGAGGCAGATTGCAGATGTTCAGTCGTGGTCGCCAAAAATCTCTCATTTCGGCGGTTTTTAATTTTCGAAAAATTGTAAACTTATCGTTTTGTTCAATTAAGGTGGTTTTAAGAGCTTCAGAATTCGACGAGAACTCGATAAGAACTGCGGATACTCGAGAAAAGAGCTGAATTGGAACTTGAAACGAATAATGAGAATTCTACTTCACTTCGACGTCAACTTAACGAGAATTCCGCATAAACTCGATAAAAAATCTACAGAAATTCAACGACAAGACTACGGAGTGTCCATAAGAGTTTGATTAGAACTTCGGACAAATTGAATTACACACTAAGATAACAATCGCGACTAGATTGAAATTTAAAGTGAAAAGTTCATAAGAACTTTATGAGAAATTCACTGAAACTCTATCAAAACTCAACTATGTAACTCTCCGGCGTTTAGTTTCACGAAGAAAACAGTTTAGCTTAAATTTAGTTTCTCTCATTCCCAAGATAACGCGATTCTTTACAAATGATACTCGTCGAAATGGCTTGTTATTTCTGTGGAATATTGTATTCGATGCATTCGTCATTCGCAAGGACGACTCGAAAATATGTGGACGAGCTTACCGAGGACGAACAGCACGGTAGATCTATCTTTGTAGAAAACAACTAAAACCGATGAAGAATGAAGGCTCGCGTTCGAAGAAAGCGTTATTCCTGAAATAGCGATTCCTCCGCGACAACATCTACCGATATCTCGTGAGCAACGCGTAGAAAACGAAGTTCTAATGGATCGATGTCAAAAATTACCAATCCACCGAGTTGCAGTTAAATGGATCGCTAAAAAATTTCCAGGAAAATCTCTAAAGCAAAATTAATCAGTGAAACTGAACGATGGTTCGTTGTATCTAACAAAATTATACAATAAAGTTTCTTAGAATTATTTAAATCCAAATTTTTCAGAATTATTTAAATCAAAATTTTGTAGAATTCAGAATATATGAAAATGAAGCATCAATTTTTTGGCAATATGGTAATTATTCGTGTATTTAATTCGACTGATTTTATAAGATAATTACGATTACGAAAATGACGACGGAAGAGAATGCAAGTTGGAGTATACGTCAATTTTCATCCCTTTCAAAAGACAATCTCTCACACTGTCTCTTCAATTACTTTAATCTCCCCTCAAACAGCAATAATCGCGACGATTCAAGTCACAATGGGATCGTACGGTCGCGATAAATTTGCCGCGTCGTCGGAAACCACGTTAGCGCTCGTAAAAGAATTTATCACCCGGGGAAACTATTTTTACGGGATCGTAAAACTTGCGAACCTCCTCGACACTGAACGGATTAAGCTTTCCCCCACTTGGTTCACCAAACAATAAGTCAAACATTCACTTCCGTCTATCCAATGGAATCTTACAAATCTGTCGTCTTTTCTACTTCTCTCTCATTTCTTTCCTTATTTTTTTTATCAATTGATAATTCAGCAACGCGCGAAATTCGACATTTCTCAAACCGGTCTTTCGCGTCCCGTTAAGTCTACAAACTACCAATTATTCGCATGTTTAGCGAGTTTTTTTTTTAATTAAAAATTAACCAAGCTCTGAATGGAACTGTTAATTGATCGATACAACACTTTCGAAAAGAAACTTCTTTACAAAGTGTGTTTCTCATTTCAAGTTCCGTTTTAATCTCGAAAGTTTGCCGTGTCGTAATTTAAAAACAATATTAAGTAATTCTCGCAGTGGAACGAGATTGTAACAAATTAATAAACTCGTTCCCGAGAAATGGACCTGATGAAACTGTCGTTAAATAACGATCAACCAAGCTCTCACTCGCGTTACGATCTAATACGATAATTATAATAGTCCAAGTGTCTCTCCCCAGAAATTAAACAAATTTCCACTCACCTAACATCCGTATCACGTTCTTTTGTGCTGCGGTTTTCCCTCTGCCGCTGTCAGAGTGATTCAATCCACCCGGTAAGTGATTCCTCTTGGTGCTGGCGGTCAACAGCCTGGACCTCCTTAATTTGATCGCGATCAGTATGTAGAGTACGGTAATGATAGTCATCGGGACGACGAAGAACAGCATCGTGGATATCTCGAAGGAATGTTCGATCAAGGTCCATTTCATCGAGCAATGTGCACTGTCCAAGTTCACCGTGCCGTTCTTGTTGTAGTCGTAAACGACACGGAACTGAACAGCTTGAGGCGCAGCTAGGCAAAGTGCCAGCACCCAGATCACTATGACGAACTTCACCGCGCGGGACAGCTTCGACATCGTGTGCGAGATGAAAGGATGACAGATCGCGACGTACCTGAAGGAACAAACACGTAACGTTCGCATTTTTCGAGCGAATGGGTTGGCAGTGTGTGTTTCGGTGGACTTTTTGGACTGTGCGGAGATATTTTGGTGAGAGTTGAGATGGTTCGAGGGGAGGAATATGGTTATTAACCATTTCACTCGGGAGCGTTTCTGACGAAATGTAGAAAATTCCCTTTCGCTCCGGCGCGTTTGTGACAAAGTATGGAAAATTCGATAGTTAACCCTTTCATTTCGGCGCGTTTGTGACAAAATATAGAAAATTCGATAGTTAACCCTTTCATTTCGGCGCGTTGGTGAGAAAATATGGAAAATTCGATAGTTAACCCTTTTGCTCCGGCGCGTTTGTGACAAAATATAGAATACTCGATAGTTAACCCTTTCATTTCGGCGCGTTTGTGACAAAATATAGAATATTCGATAGTTAACCTTTTCATTTCGGCGCGTTGGTGACAAAGTATGGAAAATTCGATAGTTAACCCTTTTGCCCCGGAGGGCTTATGACAAAATATAGAAAATTCGATTGATAACCCTTTCATTTCGGCGCGTTTGTGACAAAGTATGGAAAATTCGGTAGTTAACCTTTTCGCTCCGGCGCGTTGGTGAGAAAGTATGGAAAATTCGATAGTTAACCCTTTCATTTCGACGCGTTTGTGAGAAAATATAGAAAATTCGATTCTTAATTCTTTTGCTCCGGCGCGTTTGTGAGAAAATGTAGAAAATTCGATTCTTAACCCTTTTGCCCCGGAGGGCTTACGACAAAATATAGAAAATTCGATTGACAACCCTTTCGAAATATAGAGAATTTGATTACTATATTTTTTTCTAATTGATGGTAGTATTTATTAAATTTGCGAGAATACTGGAAATTGGTAAACCACTTTCGGCTTGTCAAGTGTTCCTCGAACTTCGGAGAAAATAATAAAACGGATCGACGATTCTCTCGCACAGGTTCATTATAAAAAACCGACGGAGAGTAAAGTTTCTGCGCGCATTTCCAATGCTAACAAAAAGAAACTCGTCCAGGGATAAAATATACCTACAATACTTGCAGTAAGTATTCTGATTCTGAAAAGGATCAATGTTACCATTACGAACAGGCAGTCGCGTTTCGCGGAAAGCTCTCCTTTACGGAGAGGAATCTTTCCGATATCGAAGAAAATTGTGTCATCTTATTTCGATGGAAACACTGTTCACGATGCTAACGTAATGATATTTCCAAATCTCTTTTAACACTCCAATTAAAATCATCTTTCGAGAAATACGAATACTTCAATAACTTCGATAAAAGAGTAACGTCTTCTGACACGCTAATTCCTTCACAACCTAAACCGAGCGAACAGTGACCGACAAGCATAACGTTTCTCATTTCTTGAGGAAGAAAAATCGTTCTAGCTCCACTTAACCACAAATGTTAACAATTTCTAGAAGAGTATCAATAGTGAAACGCTGTATCCATCAGGATCTTCATCGTAGTTTCCAACCTAATTGTTGGTCAACGGAAGCAGAGATGTACGAGGCAAGAGTCGAAGAAAGAATGACGTGGTCAGAGGAAGTTTCAAGGCGCTTTATTTACGTCGCCGAGGAAGGGTTACTTCCGACAGTTCTGGGAATCTCTGTGTGACAAGGGGATGACACGTAACCATACACCCCGAAAGCTTCGAGCTTTTAGTCGGGAACGCTTTGGTCTATACTTATCGGGAGGTCGACAGCACGCGAGAATTGCGCAGCAAAATATTGGAACAACGATTTTATTCTGCGATTACGCTTCTTAATATTTGGCTACTTGTGACTATTGTAATTTTAGGGCAATTTTCAGTGAAACTGAAAATTCGCAAATTTTAAATCGACAACTTTTCCATCTTTCGTTGTAATATTCGCTTCGCTTAAAGTTCTTACAAAACTATAAATATAAATTCGAATTAAAACGAAGCTAAAATTTTAACGAAAATAAAAAATATAAATTGTCACCCGTGATTCGGAATATTTGCAAGTATCATTTTAACAACGTTCCAAGGATATTGATTCGGTTTCTTCAAAGACAAGGGTAATTTAGAAAAACGGTTTAAAAATCCTGTCCTTTCATTCAACTAAGCACAGATCAGCGTTAAAAGTGGTTAAACGAAGAGGAGAAAATCCTCCAACATAACTGTCTCGATCAATCACCCATCTCGTAGGAAAGGCGAACAAAAAAAGAAGCCGACAATCGGTCTACCTGTCTCTTCAAGCTTGCCAATCCTCTTCAACTCTTCGAGGACCATTACTTCACGTCAATGCTGTCCCCAACTTGCGAGCCCTTTACAACCATGTTACAGAAAAATCGACGTATCCTCAAAAATCTTACAAAAATCTATCATATCATTCTCATCTCGCCATACTTCACTTAACACCTACACGCTGTACCAACATAGACAAGTTCTAGAGGGAAAAAAGCCTGTGCAAAGTATATTTGGAAGTTTGACTCAGACGATGTTCTACGTGATCTCTATTTTCTCTTACAACAACGTATCAATAGAGGAAGCTCTCTAAGAATTCCTACATATACTACTGTTCGAGGGTCTTTTAAAATTCTCGAGAGATGAGGCAAGGATTTGTACAGTGCGTGACAAAAGTTTCTGGACCGAGATTGCGAAAATTTGTCATTTAATTATTGACAATTGAAAACAAAATTTAGGTCAGCAGGATTGCTAATTTATGAAGATTTCATGTTTGTCTCTTTAACGGTAATAAATTATTGAGTTTAGAGTCCACGAATTTTTGTTGCACACTGTATCTGCTCACAATTCTTCCATTGCCTAAAAATGTGATTTGCTAATGACTATTAATGAGTCCTGCTATTTCCAAGGTTGGCAAGATATTGAGTGTGAAATTTGCATTTATTCTCAGTGGTTTTTGGTGGAGAGTGTTGATTAATCTTCTTTCTCGGCCAATCATCAATCACTTGTTTTTCATTAATCATCGCCTGTCGCCACGTGGATTCTTCCTTGAAAGGGTGCCTCGATACCTGCTTCTGATTTTCCCTTCGAAACTTCCGCTTTATGACACATGTTAGTGTTAGTCTATTAAGTAACAAAATGAACTAGGAAAATGAGATTTTAGTGTCTCTAAAGTAACCAACTCTAATTTCGTTTACTACAAATCCTTAACGCAAAAATCATTCCTAATCAAAAATCGCCTATTCTCAAAATTGTCCTTTGAAAGTTCACATAATTTTCAAAGATAGGAGACAGTAAAAATCACCATGAATTTGCAATCCATATCGATAAATAACATGATACTTCCATCAATCAATGGATCAAGCAGCGAAGCTAAGATCCTCAACTCAAAAATATCCTTTCCTTCGAACAGCGACCCTCTTTAAATTTTCCTAATCAAAGTTCACTCAATTTTCAAGGATAGAAGACAGCGAAAACCCGACAAAAACTCGCAATTCACCACGAATTTGCTAATGCTTATCGACAAACGACATAATCAAGCAACGAAGCTAAGCACCAAAACTTACTCAAAGCCGTCCACTTGTTCGGTAAACCAATAATTCGAACTCGCTACGAACCTTTCAACGGTGAACGCAGTGATGGTTAGCACGGTGGCATTCGCAGACGTCTCCGCAGCGAAACTTTGAATAATGCAGAACGCCTCGCCGAACACGTACGGGAAATGGGACCAGATGTAGTACATCTCCGGGGGCAGGCCAGATATCAGCAGCAGTAAATCAGACACCGCCAGGCTGAACAGATAGTAGTTGGTAGCGGTGTGCATCGACTTGTTACGCGCGATCACCACGCACGTGGCGACATTTCCGATCAAGCCAGTGAAGAAGATCACCGCGTAGATCACCGTGATAGGTAGAACGATGTACAATGGATCTCTTCTTGTAGTCGAGTCTTCTTGCTGAAGAAACGCGACGATCGGACTGGTGTAGTTGTTGATTCTATCATCGTTAATCAACGAGTCGCTTGGACTTCCAGTGACATCCATGGACATCATTGCTTCGAACGCCGATGGTTCCTTTGACACGTTCAGAGAAATCATTCTTGAGGATCTTCGATTCTCGAGTATGTTGATTTATTGTGACTAGCTCGTGAATCGATAGATTGATAAAGGATCAGCTTTCGATCGAAGGATTCATAAATCGGAAGATCCGGAAATCGAAGGATCCAAAAATCGGAAAATCCGGAAATCGAAGGATCCGAAATTCGAAGGATCCAAAATTCGGAAGATCCGAAAATTCGGAAGATTCAAAATTCGGAAGATCCGGAAATCGAAGGATCCAAAAATCGAAGGATTCAAAACTCGAAGGATTCAAAACTCGAAGGATCCAAAAATCGAAAGATCCAAAAATCAAAAGATCAGCTTTCCTCCAGCTTCACAGATTAATTCGCAACGATAGTCAGGTTCAGTGACGCTAATCTTCATTTTCCACGCCTCTGAGACATCCAGATTCCCTCGTGACTCTCCTCAACGATGATTAACTCAAGCCTTGGATCCAAAAATTAATTATCTTCAGCTTCACGAGATTAATTCGCAACGATAGTCAGGTTCATTGACACTTCTCTTCATTTTCAATGCCTCCGAGAGATCCAGATTCCCTCGTAACCGTCGCTCAACGACGATTAACCGAATTTCAGTCAATTTGTAACGCTGGAGCGGGTAAATGGATCGACCAGACACGTCTCGATGTCTCTGTTATTGATCTTGATATCAAGTGTTCGTTGAAATGTAGTTCTCTCCTCCTTTCGTATCCCATTTACAGACGCGCGACTTGGAAGTTTTTACGAGAGAGATGTGACGGAACGGGAACGTTGAAATATGGTCGGTTCGATGTTACTGAACGATCTGTCCTGTTCGAAGCGCGCGGATCGATTCGAGGCTTTGAAAATAGATCGGTCGTTCGACTGGAAAACGTGTGGCCACAGTGTCCTTAGGGGCGAACCGACGAATAGAAAATGTCGTTGATCTCGACCGAGACATATTAATAGAAAGGCGGGTTTATTATGGTTCCTACCGTCTGCAACGTGTCCGATCCACGTGTCGAAACGCAAGGATCACGGTTCTCGTCACGCTCATATGCTCCAGTGTATGCTTCGATCCTCTTCGAGCAGATCTCATCGATCAGAAACTGTATTTCTCACGATCTGATTTCTTCCGCATTACAAATTTTATCCAAACAATTAATTTTAATTCTTCTTAATCGTTGTATACGTCACTCCAATCACTCGTACATCTTTGTCACACGGAAATTTTTAGTTTTTATCGCGTTATAGTTTCTTTCTTTTTATTACAAATATAGAAAAGATTTATCGTATATTTTTGACAGTTTCTATGTATCGTTGAAACAGGTGCGTTCGGTTGATAATTACAACGATTTGCAGACCTAACGATCGATCAAATCAGATCCAAATCACGTCGGTGTAATAATCGTCCATAGATCGCTCGTCAAACTGTCTCGCCGAATACACACGCTTCAGAACAGCTCACGTTTCAACAACAATTCTCTTCGATGGCTAGACTTTCGTATCGTTAATATTTTAGCAGAGGGAATTAACGCGCTATAGCAGGCACAACTGAATTTCGCTCGATTATCCGATCAAGCGTGAACAGGTCTAAATATATTTGGTCTGCACCTGTGAAATGTTTCTTCGTTAATCAAATTCGACGTTAATTAACGAAATTATTGCGCTAATTAAACGAGCTGAATTTTTCTATGTTTGCCGAACTGTACTATTTATGATACGAATTTATTTAATTTTTTTTTTATCTTCTTCTGATATCGACTCACTGTTCCCACTTAAATCTACAGAATCAAAGTAAAAATGTTACAAATTTCGAACACATTCAGAGGATATTTCGAACGTATCTCCTCGCGATTGTATCTTTCAATTTTTCGATACGATAACCGATGCAACACGATATTCGGTCAATTTTTCTCTGTCCATTCTACTGATCGAATTTTAATTAACTCTCAAAACCACACTGCGACACTGTAATTAATTTACTGCCGCAACACGCACACATGGATATGCTTTTCGTATATGAATTCGCCACACAGTACACGATATTCGGTCAACTTTATGATTTATCGTGACAATGCAAGTCTAGCCGAAATTCGAGAATAATTTATCTCCGTTGACACGATCTCTTTCACGATCGTCCATCAATCCATTAAAACGTTTCGCTATATTTACATACACTTCTTCGCACTTTTTTCTCTATCAATTACTCGCTCGATTTTTTCCCGCCTTTTTTCCTATCAATTATATCGCTCGACTTTTTCCTCGCTGAATATTCACCCGAGCAATGTAAAAAAAAAAAGGGTTAACGTAACTTTTAACAATCGTTCCTTCGATGCTTACACTAGCAAAATTATTTTCAATTGTTCTTTTTCTTCCTTTTTTCGTTCTACTTATCATTAAGTTCCGCGAGAAACTTCAAGTTCACGTTTCATACGATGATCAACTAATCACCTCGTCTCCAATTAATCATTTCACCAAGTCGTTTCTCTTTTGTCGGTTAACCGAGTTCAGTCGCGACCGAACACCTCTGAATCATCGAACACTTATCACGTTCAACGATGTTTCTTAAAATAATTAATCAGTCACTTCAACTGACCTCTTCACTGCAACAGATAACTTTAATTCATCTCTCTGCGAATCAAGCGCCGTTTCAGAAACTTTCTATCCGCAGCTCAACAGCCTCTCTTCCCGAGATATCAATCAGAGTTAATCGTTACAAGCCTTCGATTTCTTCGTTATGATAATTAATGCAGATTTTCGTTTCTTTGTATTTACACAGAGGTGTCTTTGTTCGTTCTTTAAACCGCGTTTAATTTTTAATGTCGCGAAATTTATAACGTCGCATAGTTTCTTCACGTGGTTTCTTGTTTCACTATTTTCAGGATTTCCGGATTTTTCGTAATCATAGATTGTTCATTCTTCCTCTCGAATATTTAGCAATTAATTGTTGTCGGAAATTCAGTTACTTCTCGTGGTTTCTTACTTCACTATTTCCAGGATTTTCCGATTTTTCAGAATCACGAACTTTCGATTCTGTCTCTAGAATATTTAGTAATCAACAAAGGCTTCTTCGTTAATTAATTACCGCTTGAAATTTACTTCCTCCACGTGGTTTCTTACTTCTCTATTTTCAGAATTTCCCAATTTCTCCTAACCACCAGGCATTCTTCCTCTCGAATATTCAGTAATTAATAATAAATTCTTCACTACTTCAGAAATGCTTCCAATCTTCTCGCGGTAATTAACACGTTAGATCTTCCTCGTCACTAAACTCTTTCAGAAATACTTCCAATCAACACAGCGAACTGTTTCCATCCATCCGCCAATCGATCTCGCGATTAAAAACAATCGTTCTCCACGAAAAAACGGCACTTTTCCTCCCTCGGAAGCACTTTTAATCCTTCGATAAGCCAGCCGAATCCGATTTAGAAAATCCTCCTCTAAATCTTCCTTTTCACTGGCAAGAATAGAGAGAGTGGACGCGATTAGCGCGCGGTTCGCTCGCGACTGAGTATCCTTCTTCGATCGGTCCGAATCGTCCGCGCGGGAAACGCGGTTCGCCTAATCGTTTCTGGAATGGCGAATTGATTCGCGCATCTGGCAGAAACTATTTCGAGAGCACAATCGTCTCGTAGACGACGATCGCGTTTCGTAATCGATGTTGTTTCTACGTTTATCTTCAACTGGAACGATCGGCGCCATTTTCGCTGGAGAGACAACGCATTATGTCCACCTTGTAACTTCCTCGCTGATAATTGTCGCCTTACTACGGGTCATCTACTGCCGATCGATGTTTTAATTGTGTTTGCTCAATTCACGCGCTCTTAGAGCGTTTAATTATGTCGAATAACGTTGCTACGGAATAAATTCTAAAGTATTGTGATGATTATTACCGTGTGTCCTTGGCGATTGTTTTCTTCGGTTTTAATTAAAAATTTCTTTATTTTCACTCGAGAGATTTAATTTCATTACAATACGTGTCTTAAGGAACTGTAAAGATTGTTCACTCAGTTTTTAAAGAATTTACGACACTCGATAAATAATTTCGTTTAGTATTTCTTTGGAATTAATTTAAAATTCAGTTTAATTATGTCACATAAGTTCATAAATAAAATTGCGAGTACTGCGACATTCGTTGATTTCGGTGCTTTCAATTCTTCAAACTGACTGTTAATTTTACCGTTTAAAAATTAATCAACACTATATCGTTGGTCGATTCACTCAACACGAAAGTTTCGATTGGATATGCTGAAAAAGTTGAACGTTGTAAATCTAAAAGCACTATTACACCCTTTCAATTAAACATTTTTCATCATCTCCTCTAGAATTAAATATTTAAACATGTTCCTTTTTATCGATCTTCTGTTCTGCCGATACAGGCGATTCAAACTTCCAAACCACTGTACAGTGCTTAACGTTCATTTTCCAGCTTTTTGTTAATCGTTCCCTTTCAACGACGTTCACTACACAAGATTCAATATCAACTCTCTGACAGCTACGTACTCTATTTCAATTTTCACTCGGAAATTTCTTCCTTCTTTCTCGTTCTTTATTTATTTAACCATTCAGCGTGGTTTCGTCGACAGAATGTCGTTCACACGGAATTCCAACAGGTCGTACTTCTTCGTCCAGGATTTTTGAAACAAATAACCGTTTCACAGAAACGTTTCTTTCATATTTCTCTGAAATGCAGAAAATGAAATTCTTTTTTTTGGAAACACCTGCCTTTCGTTACAAAATTTTACAGAGATGTTCACACTCCCGGGGGAACATCCTTGCGAATTTTTATTTTAAGACGTTCCTTAACTAATCTGAGAACCGAGAAAAAAATAGAACTCGTTCGATGGTGCAATAGGCTGAATTAGAAGAGCTATTTAAAAACAGGAAAACAACAATCTTCTGGCTCCATTCGTTAAACTTGTTTTTCAACTGTCTCTAAAGGAACATTTCTCTAAAGTTTTTCACCTGTTC